AAAAGAGATGAAACTAACTGTGTGTACCACTTTATCAGAGAAAATGTTCTACATGTATATAGTCCTAAATGAACAAACAAAAACATTGTTTTGAAGAAAGAATCTGGATGTAGGTTTTCGAAGCATAAACAGTACCTAACTTCAAGTTAATACTTTCAACCTTGTCACTCCACTGTTCACAGAGAACCAATAAAAAAAAGCCAAACTGAAAAACCTTCTTAATTTGCTGCAAAACAGAAAAAGTAAAATTAAGCCTTTTGATATACTCGTAATTTACATAGTTAAATGATTTAAAACAAGCATATTTTGATTGGCCTGGCTGAGTTCTTTGGAACATTTTGGTAACATTCCTGTAATAAGGCAATAAAAACCAAGCATAGTATCCAATAGAGACTTCATGTGAAAGTTGTAAAAGGGTATACTTTTTTCTTTCTTAAATTCAGAAGTTCTGAATATTGTAAATACTATAAATGTAATATGCTTTTTTTTTACTACTGTTAAATATTCAGTTTGTTGGACTTGTTTCACCAATTATACATAAACCCTTCTTTTAGTCCCTCTTGATTTTTTAACATCCACATCACCAATGCTATCATAAAAATGTAGGTTCTTTTAATACTCCAAGTTTGTACTTTACACTTATAAGTATCAAAATTCGTATCCATGTTCTGACTCATTCACTTGAGACTCAAGGTCCTTTAGTGGGATGAGTAAAGCATTCCTAAAACAATCAGCTTGTCTGAGCATTTTAAGATCATTGTTGGATTAAGAAATATTGCTGTCCAAGAAACTCTCCACATCAGTGATGTAGATAATGATAAAGATCCTAAAGTAAACTGTAGAAGGGCTCAGCTAATCTCTTTCTTCCACTCCTAAAAGTACAAATATGCATGTATCACTAATCTTTACTCTCTACCACTAATCCAACTTTCCACCCTCTTCTTAAATTTACCCCCAATTCTATAAGCATTTAATTTAGTAATAAACCCCTAGTTAGACACCTTATGAGGTAGGTCTTATGCATCATTTGGCATGAAGAGGATTAAGTAAGTAAATACACTTTGTCTCAGGTTTTCTGAAAGCCAAGGTATATATTATCACCCATAACATTCATATCCACCCTTTATTTTTCAGGAAACACCTTTGATTCCTTTCTTAAGCTCTCTTCAAATGCTGTCCTTCAGTATTGCTGGTGGTAACTCATTATATAAGCCAATAACCCTGATGGAGAAATAAAACTGTCATAGCTGGAGTCTAGCCTGTCTGTTCTAAATTTTAAACTTGTATTTTTTCATACGATTTATAGATAGAGCACAAAGAAAGCAGGGTCTTTATTCTGTAAATTTTTAAGAGGAAAATAATGTTAATCTTTACATTCATTTTGTAACTTGAGTAAAGATCACCCACTAAGAGAAAAATAAGCTGGTATATAAACTTGTAGCTATAATCCTTCCATCCCCAGAATTATCTTAGTAGCCTTCCTCTGAACTCATTCTAGTTAGTCACCATCCTTTTTTAAAACGAGGAGACCAAAACTGTACGTAGTATTCCAAGTTAGGCCTAATTAGTGACTTGTAATCATTCTATCTATAGGTACATCATGATATATTCTGTTTGCTTTGCTACTAGCAACAACATTGATGGCAGGCAAAAGAAAATAATTGTAAAAACATGCTGAGAATTCTTGATTTGATTCTAACTTTTCAAATGCATGCTAACAACTGAAATCAAACAAGTAGACTTATAACTTCCCACATCCTTTATCACCCCTTCTTTTTTAAAAAAGGGGAACCACATTGGAAATCTTTAAATTATGAGGAATTTCCCAAGCTTGCAAAAGGTGTTTAGAAATAATATTCAATTCTAACACATATTTCTTTGCAGATTTTCTTCAAGATTTAAAATAAATCTCATAAAGACCAGGTAATGTACTTTTAACACTTTTCCAGTCTTTCCTATTTAAGAATCTTTTTCTCCTTTCCTCCACAAAATAGATGTTTGAAATCTTCCATAGGACCAATAATATCCTTTAGTCCTTTTTTACAGTTATTATAAGCATTCAGGTTAAATTTGAGGTTTTGAACTACAGTACTTTGGGATTTTTATGTACTTTGTCTTTAATAAGATTATTTTTTATATAAGAAGCTTTCAGCAAAAGTCGAAACCAATCATTGATTCATACTAAGAGATAATTTTTCATAAAAAAATAATCAAAATTGTTTAGTTTAGGACTCAAATAATCTCTATAATTAAATCATTGTTAATTCAGTTCTTATGGTAAGGATATGAATTTTGTCTCTTTGTAAAATACTGCCTGTACAAAAATCATTGGACTGAATGTAGAGGTGACCTAGCAACCTCTCATAATACTTATACTAACGTTTATCAAATATTACCTTGTGTATTATTCTGTTTTATAGCATTTTTGGTTATATGTAGGATAGTGGGTTATATTGTGAAGTGCATAAAATATTTGTGAAAATACAGTTTGCTGATTAAGACTAGTCATTTTATTTCAAATTTACATATGAAATGAAAAATCCATCAGATATTTATTTCAGTCTTTGTGAAAATAAAATGCAGGTTTAGGATATTCTCATCAAAAAACTTAATTAAGGTGTACCGTTTATTTTTAATTAAATAATTAAGTTATTTGATGCAAATATGGACTAATAGTCATGCTTACTTTTTTAGTATTGTATAAACTGTATTTTATTTTAAAATATTTTTAGAATTATATTTTTATTTTAAATTGAATTGAGACTAATTGAATTTAAAATGTAAATGTATGAGTTGTTGTACAGGCTGAAATGTTCTGTTTCTTTAGGTTACACAGTATTTACATTATGTAAAAGTGGGTAATTACTATGGGCCATGAACTAAACCTCAACTACCATATTCTAAAATTCTGTTTGCAGCTTCTCTCACAATGTATAGTTTTTGTAATTGGTTAAGTGATGCTTATTCAAAATGTTATCTTATGAATATGAAAATCTGTGTTGATGGTTTAGGATTTGTTTTTTTTACCTTATTCCAGGTTGTGATTCTGGTTTTGGACATGCTTTAGCCAAGCACTTTGACCAGCTGGGGATGAGAGTTTATGCCACTTGTCACCATGGGAACAGTGCAGGCTCCCACATACTGCAGTCTACATGTTCTTCAAGACTTAAGATATATGAAATGGATGTCACTAATGAGAAACAAGTAGATAAGGTTGCAGAAATGATAGAATGTGATGTTGGAAATGATGGTAATGTTGAAAATAATTTGTTTAAGGTATTTTTAATTTAAACATGTAGCTGTGACTCTGAAATTAACTTATAAATACATTTTGTTTTATCTATTTAACAATAAACCAGTTACATAAAGAGAATTCAAAGAACCTATCCTATTTCCTCATTTTTATTTTGAATATAGTGCCATGATTCTTATATTTTTTATAGAATAATATATTCTTCATTAGTTCCAAAGAAAACTATTAGAAATGTGATGATATCATGTTATCTGAATTGTGCTCAAAACATAGTTTTTGTTGTTGTTGTGTATTGGTGTTTTTTTTTTATTCACATATACATTAAAACAATTTTGAACGGATCAATTTGAGGAACCAGGATCATCCAGAGAGAGACCCATAACAAGTTTTACCTCAGCCATTGTAAACAAAGTGTAGTATCTTGTAATAGGTGAGAATTCACTAATGCCATCGTCAGTGCTAAAGCCATCCATATATCCTAAGTAACTGTAAACAACACTAACAATAAGAACCTTTATCTGGAAAAGTGACACAAGCTACAGGTACATAAGTTGCTTCCACGACATATCCAGGAAAGGAAGATCAAATATAAGAAACATATGATCTGTACTTAACCAAGGGAAAAATGGCAGTAAATGGTGATACTTATCGGAGCATATTGTCTACCTTGATAACCTAACAGGTCTTATGCTAATTTCTGTTGAAATGCTTGGAAGCCATCATCTTTGTATGCTGCATGGATTGGTTTGCTTTGGACATAATGGCCTTATGATTTTTTGTAGTGGAAACTACGATACAGGGCTAATGTTATGATACACAATAATCAGATGGAGTATGATTGGACATGGCAACATAGACTGTAATGAAGTGGTGAAGCTTCAAAACCATTTCAGTATAACTTACTCAAGTCTCTATGTAATACGTTTCATTGAAGTGACTGAAGCAATATTGTGTGGCGCAAAATAATAAATATTCGTGTATGTTGTGTATGAGTTGAATTATAATTTTTTACATTGTTATATAGATTTCCCCTTTTCTCTACATGTCAGTATAAGAATACTTTTTCTTTCTGTACTCCTAAAAAAAAGGTCCCTTTAAAAATTCCTAACAGAAGTTGAAATGATAGGCTTGTAATTTTCTCAGATCCCCTCTATAATATTTTTAATATAGATATTACCCTTATTAATAATACTGGGGGAAAAATCGTGCTTTGCAAATGAAACATTTTTTTGTTGTGGTATTTTGTACTTGAATGCATGAAGTTTATAAAATGTAAAAACAGTGCTATGTATTAAGGTAATTAAAACAGTTAAGTGACCTGCCTAGACTACTCACACATAAAGTTAGGTGCAAAGAGTTCTGAACAAACCTGACAGTTGTATGGGGTATCTCAGTAAGTGTGAAGTTAAACTTATTCCACCACACACCTCTCGTACAAAATACATAAAACCTGGGTTTTGAGACAAGTGTTAAAACACATTAGGGTGACTGTATAAGTGTCTATAAACAGATGAAGAAATTCATACTCAAAACCTTATCACATAACCACTGCTGTCTGATGTGTGGTTCTGAAGGATGACATATCCTTTCCCCAAATATCTTTCCCTTTGCAATGCGTAGTACTATCTACATCCATCTCTCCCTTATGGATATGGTGATAATGTTTATATTACCCTACTCCTAATTTCATTTTTGCATAGTTTAAAAACTTCCCACACAAGTGCATGCACACACATTATTCTTTTAATTGTATAAATTGTAAGGATTACAGATTTCCTCACCATCTAGCAATTTTCAAAAATAACTGACAACTCACATCAGTTCCTTTAATTAGTTTTATAATTATTATTTCTTCTGGAGTAGTAGCTATAGAAGTTTTCCTTGAGTTTATCCTGATTAACTTTGTTCTCTTTCTTTAAATATTCTACTATAACAACACTATATATAGTAAAAAAAATAAAAGAAAATAATAAAACCTTAATAAAGACTTCAACCATGAGCTTCTTTAATATTATGTCCACTAGTATTAATCAGTGGCCCAATTACCATTCATAATGTCTTTGAATTTTTTTTTCTGTAGATTGTAGGACTGTTCATTGTAGAAAGAAGTATTACAGTATTTTCTTGAATATCTGTAGTTGTTTTTTTACTGACTTCTTAAATTCATCTTTTTTTTCTGAATAATCAAACTTATTGAAAAATTACACTTCCTTTCTGCTTTTCTAACATAAAGAAACATAATTTACATTTTTCTTTTTTAAATATCCAACCCATTCCATCCACAACCTTTTTAAATTCAGTCTTGGCTATTCTAAAATCAGGAACACTGTATTTAACTCTGTATTTATTCTCAATAATTACTTTTAGTACCTAAATGTTTCTGCAAAGCAATATTTCTAAACGTATCTTCAGAAATATGAAATTTCAAAATATAAATTTTGAGATAAATTTTCTCAAGTTGAGTGAGAAGTCAATCCATCATAGTTTGTAGACACTCTTCAACCTTCCATAAGGAAAATAAACTACTAAAGTATTAAAAGTTTCTAAGAATTTAAGTTTTCAATAATAATTTTCTTACAATAGCAAAAGGTAATAGCTTAGTATATTCCTATTGTCTTCAGTAATGCGATCAGGATGACTATATGTAAAACTAGAAGCATCTTTTGCCCCATTTTTTTGTGATTTTTTGCAAATAGAATAAAATTCATTCATCATATTAGTCAGGCTTGTAGGGTTTAGTTCACATTATTGGGTTCTGGTATTGTGCTGAAATGATTGCTCATTTTTTTATATATATGTAGGTTTGTGGAGCTTAGTTAACAATGCTGGGATCTGGTACTGTTCTGAAGCTGACATGATGTCCATGTTACTGTTTAGGGAAGTAGTGGAAGTAAATCAGTTGGGGACTATTTATGTTACTAAAGCTTTCCTACCTCTTTTGAAATTATCTCAAGGAAGACTTATCTTCATATCAAGTGTAGTTGGTAAGTATTAGAGCAGTGGTTAGTTTTGGTTACTTTAGTGTTTTTAGCTACATTTGATTGGTTACTTGACCAACTTTGTGTTATGGAAGTACTTAATTTATACACTTCTTAAATTGGCTACAGCTTTATTTGTACATAAAGGTGTTCAGTGGTTCATGTAATTGCTTCCTTCTTTTGGGGATAAGAAGCTACAACATATGTTTACTTATAGTGAATATTATTCTTGTTTAGTAAGTATTTTGAAATATCATTACAACATTTCCTCTAGATTGTGGAATCCCTAAACATTCTACAACACTCCTGCTTATATCTTATTCTCATAAAGGCTTCTGAGGATACTTCTGATGCTCAAGTTTTCTAAAAAGTCCGATAACCTTGTCATGAGATAGAGAGGAAGATGTGACTGGGCTTCTATATACTTGGCTTCTATCCTCCACCATATTACAGGCCCATCCAAAGGGTTTGGCACTCCTAGTCATGAGCATTATTTAGGATAGACTTGTGTTTGAACATGGTTAGACTCGTGTAGTATACACATCTTCTCTGCTCTAGATGTATGCTTTCCTTTGGTCTATCTGTGGTGTTATTAAATAAAGAGTTACATACAGATTAGTCATTAGTGCAGAAATTAGAGAAGTACTAAAATCTAGCTGGCAGTGAGTCACTAACGTTTGTGAATGAAGACCGGATATTTCCAGTGTAGGAACCGACAAGTGTTGGAGTTGAATTTTAAGATGTAGTATCAATAACTGGTTAAGTTGTGCAAAACAAGGAAGAAAACAAAAATATTTTACACCAACATCATTGAACTTAAAACAATACTATTTATTTGAGTGATGACTTGTATTGGTTAACCCAACAGTAGATGAACTGGGCTTAACTGCACAAAGATTCAAAATCACACACATCCTTTCAGAGAGCAAAGAAATGGTTCTTTTTTTACTTTAGGTAATCAAACACAAGATTGCAAAATGACCATTGAAATTTCATGGAAAAGTTGGGTTTGTGAAATACGGTTACCTTCTTTTAATTTACAGTCCAACATTACCATAAGAACACTTATAATGCAAGGCTTGTGTCCCATTTCAAGTTACAGGTTTATAGTGGATGAGACTGAACTGTTACCTACAACTTAAGTCTGGAAATATTACATAAGTTATGAATATTATAGAAATAAAGTTGTAGAAAGGCTGGCAGTTAAGGTATCCATGACTATCACATTTCCAGTGTGAGGTTTTTAACTCATTGTCTATCTTTTAGGAAAAAAAAAAATATATATATTTGTGTTTCAATGAAATACTCTATACTACATATGGATATCAGGAATAATTGTTTATATTTTAAAACAAGAATGCTTAACTAGTTTGGTGTAATATCAAAGACAAAACTGTATGAATATGTCAAGTACCAATGATAAATTTAATAAATACTTTATAATAATGGTGATGTTGAAAGATATTCCTGTTTATGTATTTGAACTCTTGTTTAAAGTTTTGAGTTTATGACCATCTTTGGAAAGTAAATATCACTGCTTATGAAAAATATTAATGGATACCCAATTCTAAAAGCATTTCTGTGATGAATACAATTAAAAATTTTTTTATATATGTCTTTTAAACATACATTGGCATCTTGAGTTTTGCTTATTTTTAACATTGCATCTATGGCAGCTTGTATTTAGTAAACATCCAACAGAAGTTATGAAATATGAACAGTGTGTTACTTGATTCTAAAATATGTAATATAAGGAAAATGATAAAGAAAACCTTTGTTGTGTAAAATTGAATGATAACAAAACTGGTTCTATATAAAATGATTACAACAGTATTTTCCAATAATATTTGCTTGAATTAATCATATTACTAATAAAAAAAAATTTAAATTTAACATCCTTCACTCTTAGGAAGAATGCCTTTGCCCCATTTTGCTGCCTACAGCATTGCGAAAGCTGCAGTTGAAGCTTTTGCTGATGTTTTACGACATGAAATGAAAAAATGGAAGGTTTCTGTATCAGTAATAGAACCTAACTGCTTTTATACTGGTGAGATAATTATTAAACTTTAGATTATCTGTATGTCTACATGTGTTTATATATATATATATATATATATATATATATGTGTGTGTGTGTGTGTGTGTAGTTAGTTACTTATTTATTTTCTTTATTCTTCTTCTTACTACTAGTAGTTACTTACTACTACTAC